AAGATAAGCAATCGATCAGATTATCTAAGCAATCAGTGATTAAATACAGGAAAACGAGTCTAGACTATGACTACGGTCGCGCACTCACCTTAGACAATCGGCAGTAGCAAGATCTATGAATTAGCCGACGGTTTTCAGAAGAACTCCCCGATTCAGGATGTTTCTCTCGGACGCGAATGAATTCTCTCGGCAACATTCGGAATCACCCGGCTATCTCTCGATCGGATTCGGCGAACTCTCGGTGAAATCACAAACTCTCGGATGAAATCTCATTCGGTTGTTCTTTCTCTTTTCTCTCTGTTTTCTCTCGGATACTTAGGCAGAATAATGAAGTTTCTGTGGTTTCCCCGAGTTAAATGACGGTTCTCGAATGTAGCTGCTTAATAACTCAATCCGCTGTGTTTTCCTTCGAGTAACCGAGTGCCAGTAACCGTTTCCACACTTTTTAATCGATCTAAATGACTTAGCCGGACCAGATTGATGTTCCCATCCCTTAACTGGCAAATTTGGCTTGGTTTACTGAAATAGCCGATCTGATTTAAGTTCATCCGAGCAATTCTCTCGGTTATCGCCGATAACTGCTCCCGCCAATACTTATCCGAGTCTTTCAAGAATTTCCTCGGATATAACCGCTCCCGCTCGGCTATTTTCATTACTTACCGGATATTTCATAAATTCATCCGATAAATCCACAAAGTCCCTCGATCATTCCAGCTCGGCTCCGACAAAAATAACCGTCCTGTCCGAATCCCGACCAAAGGTCCGAGAAACACGGTTTGTCCAAAGCTCCCTTGTCTGAATCCCATTTTCACTCGGACATAATCAGCTCAGCTCAATCCCAGCTCGGACTTCAATTAACTGACATGTCAGATATCCGACCAACTGTCCGAATTTCGCGGATTGTCGGATTTTCACTTGTCTGAACCATTTCTTCTCGGCTAAACACTCGAATCAGCTGCACTGACCCGATCCAGCTCGTTTTAGCTCGACTATTCTTCTTTTCCACCCGATAGCCCAATCTTTGCTCAGAAAATCTCCTTGATTTTCCTACTCATGATCTTAATCCGACTAATTCAGTTTGATCCGAAGATCACGAGCGTTACACTGGGCCTGCTCTCAATGGTTTCCCCCACGAGCCTCGTCCCCCACTGGCCACCGCTTTCTTATTTCTTAATGTGTTTAGAGACGACTTCATTATCATTTTATTGGGTCTTATTAGTTATTGTCTATAAACATTGTTAATAAGCCCGTTTTTTCAATTCAGACTTAACTAAATATTTGTTTAAACTAACAAATGTCAGACGTTTAGGCCCAACAGAAAATTCTTATTTAAAAAAAAAATCAAGTTATTAAAAACATGATATAAATACTATTATTTTACTTTGGGATAAAATTTGTTTTTGGTGTTATTATATACTATTAGGAAACAAACCTGCACGTTAATACATGAACATTTATAATCTTTTACAAAATATTTAATTATTTAGTTAATATATGAAAAAATAAAAAATATTTTTTTGTAACTTCAAATATTATGTTTCTATTTATTTTATTCGAAAACTATATTCAAAACTTATAGATCATTTTCTATGATTAATTAGAATTTAAGATAATACAGTTTACCAAAAAAATGATGAATATTTTACAATCTTCCAATAGATTGAACTTTTTCTTCTTTTTATCCATGTTTGATCTTATTTATTTCAAATGTATCTTGACTAGAATTGAATATATAATAATTTTTTGGCATTATAATCAGATTTCTTCATCTCTAAACAAGCCATAAATATTTAGTGTGATTTTTTATTTATTAGTAACATTATTTAAATCATTTGAATTATTAAAAGGCACAAGTTTCCGACCAGATAGATAAATGTTTAATCTTTGGACCGGAGGATATTGATGATATATCTCAAATTTAAAAACTTGCCACATTGATTCACAAGCTGATACATATCAACATTTAAAATCAAATTTTTAGGTGTGGATCATTCGTGAGACCCTCACGGTGTACCGGGGATTTACTCCGAGTGCATAATGATGTCGCGATGATGGCGGTCGTGACCTTCTCAACCAGCCAAATGATGATCGGCCTGCTTAGGTGGGAGCTTGAAGAGGTGCTTTGGCAGAACAGGTAATGGGGGACGGACGCTCCAGGGGCAACGAGGGGCGCAAGAGATGCGAGTCCATCTTCGTTGGCGAGGCCTTCTCGCCCACCGGACTTTTAATTTGAACAATCTTTTTCTTAGATACCTTTGTCCCTTGTAAAATATTTTCTTATACTCTAAAATCTGGTGGCCGTTTTTCTGGTCTTTTAAGTTCCTTCTTAGTTTATTCCACACATCCTCCATCTTTATGCGCTTTCTTCGTTTGATGCTCTGTTTCGTGGTACATCTGAGTCTTCGACTTTGGAGCCAGCATGTGTGGTGGCTCCAGGGTGTTGAGTCTTAGAAAGTAGGGTTGCCCCGCACAGCTTGCTAGAGGTAGGGACCTCTGTCGGGCTCTTGTTCCTCGTGGGCCTTTTCCCAGGCCATGTGCTCTTTGCGCGGTCAAGCTACTTTGACTATTTCCTTCGTGGAATTGCTCGCCAGTGATCTCCCCTCTATCTAGCGCCAACTGTTCGGGAGCAACTTTCGGTGATGGAGTCGTGCCTCCGAGTTTCGTCCTCTGGGGGAAGGCGACGAGTCATTATAAGGCAGAAGCTTGTCTAAGCCTTACAAGCATCTAAGGAAGTTCGAGAAGGTCCTGCAAGCACTACACAGAGAGTCAATCAGGCTTATAGGAGGACTGAAAGGGGGTTTCCCTCTCGAAGGTTCTTTGACGCTCAAGTCAATGAACGCCTCACCGGAAACAAATACTCAGGATGGTGATTATATTGGTTAGGGGTTAGATGCCTCGTCCGGGGATCAGGACATCTTTCGGCTTATGTATGTTTTATGAGGTTCTATACGGGGAATAAGGTGTAAAGAGTATAAAGGCAATATTCCAAATTATAGAAAGGCTTATCATGTTAGACTTTATCTTAGAGGACGGGGCATGCATCCCTGAGATTACGCTGTGAGACCGCGTCTGGCCTCTCCGGGGTGGGACTTGACTCTTCCTCCTTATACTTGGTTCTAGAGAGGTCTCTCCTTTGATCTCTACCTCCTTTTCTCTCGAGTAAGCTTTCTCTCTCCTTTCTTTAGTCTCTCCTTTCCTCTACAGCCTCCTTTTCTCTCGACTGAGCTTTCTCTCTCCTTTCTTTAGTCTCTACTCTCCTCTACGCCTCTCCTTCTCTTCTGAGGATGCCTTGTCTTTTATAAGGGTCTCCCCTGTCCTGTCCCATCTGTTCGGTGTGCCAGAGGAGCAGGTGAGTTAGCGGCGCATGTGTGACTTGAGAAGCACGTCAACTGCTCGAGAATAGTGCGACCAAGCTAACAAGTCATGTCAATGTTTAGGATGGTTCGATATCCATGTGTCGCGTCATCATGCACTCATGATAAAACTGGGCCCATCACTGATTAAAGGCAAACAAAAATGAAGGAACATGAATAGAATAGTTATATAAACTCTAAATTCTTTACAAAAAAAAATCAAAGCACTAATTTGAATTAAAAAAAAAAGAAAATTTGGAAAGAGATATTGAAAATTTTGAAGAGAATAGATGTCGAATTTAATGAAGATATAAATATTTTACAAATCATAAAACTAAAAATTCGGTATGAAATAATAGAATTCAAATTATTATATGGATTAAAAAACAAAGACAATGTCAAAAATGAGTTGGAAGATGAACAAATCCAAAAGATAACCCAACAACTTATAGATATTTATGTATAAAACTAAAATAAAATCATTCATATAAAATAAATACATATTTTATAAACCGTAAAAACTACAAATTCTCTAATAAATAAAAATTTGAAATGTTCTTTTGAATATAAACAAAGAGAATGTGAAAAGAAGTTGGAAGACGAATAAATATAAAAGATAATGAAAGAGTTTGCGGAATTATTAAACTTAAAAAAAATCAAAAATATTTATGCATAAAAAAAGTAAAATTATTTCTATATACTTTAATGTGAAAAATGAATGAAAGTTCTATAAGAATCAAGAAAAATAAAGTATTTAATCATGTAGTAAAGAATTAAACGTGTTCTATATAATAAAGAGAAAAAAAAATCTCTAACTATTTGTACATCAAAATGAATTAAAGTTTTCAGAGTTTATGAAAAAAATAAGAAGTTGTTCATTTTTAAGTGAGTGATATTGATGGTAAATTCATATTGTTGATTTTGTTGAAAATATGCATTATAAAAAAAATCTACAAAATAATTGAATATAAATATAGATAGTGAAGAGACATATAAACTCATGGCAGTGTATAAATATATATAAAGTTTTTTTTTAACAATTAACACATGTTAATTTATTTTAGAAAATAAAAATCACAATAAATCTACATATTTTAGGAAAAAAGAAATTTAAAACAATAATTATAATTAGAAAAAACAAATAAACATATAAAAACAATACAAAGTGTTAAAAGTAAACGTAATAGTATAAATATATAAAAATATAAAAAATGAAACTGATTCACTATGCGTGGATCAAAATCTAGTTACTAAAAATTATGAAAATCCTCTTAATCCAATGGTTTGACTAATAATTCATTAATACTTATATATAAAAAAATATGTGTTTCAAAATCCCATGAAATGCAACTTATTATCAATTATACAGATTAATTTAGATAAATTTACATGAGATTTTTAGCCATTAGTCATGGAGACGGTAAATAAAATACTAAATCCTTGTCCGAATTTGATTTCAACTAATCTGAATCCGACCAAAAAAAAACATCTAAATGATGCTAGATTCGTCTTAAACATCAACACCAACCAAGATAATTTCAAGACGGAAATCGTTTAGAAAAACATATTTTATATAACGAAAAAATTATTTGTGTTTGACTAAAGTAAGATTTAATATTCTCTAATTAAGAAAAAAAAATGCTATTTGATAAATCTGATAAAAGAACAAAAAATAAAAAACGAGCCCCGCCAAACAAATTTTAAGTTACCTTCCAAAATTTGGTGGACAGCGCCGGAAACTCAAAAAAAACTCAAAATCCCCAAATTGCACACAGAGCGCCGGAAACTTCATTTCAACTGAAAACAAAAAAATCTCAGAAATGGCGCTTTTGCTCTGCCCTTTATCTTCCCCCTCTCACCCTCACTTCTTCCTCCCATCCAATCTCAATCTCAATCTCTCTCCTTCTTACTTTCTCCTTCTCTCCCAGTCTCTACAATCACTAAACCATGACGGTGAAAGAGATCTGCGTGAGGATGACGAGAGCGGCGGCGAAACGAAAAGCTATGGCCACGGAGGAGGAGCGAGTCAATAAGAAGAGAGTGGTTCTCGGTGAGCTTCCCAATGTGTCCAATGTCGCCGTCTCAGCCAATCCCAATCAGAAAATAGAGATCTCAAAGCCCAGAAAAAGTCATGGGGCTCCAGCGAAGCAGACAAAGATTGCTCCAGTGGCGTTGGCTACCGTAGAATCAGTATCTGACATTGATGCTCGATCTGATGATCCCAAGATGTGTGGACCTTTTGTCACCGACATCTACGAGTATCTCCGCGAATTGGAGGTAGCAAATCTCTACTTTATTGATCTTAAACATTGACTAGCTTTGTGGGTTTGATCTAAAGAGTTTTTATCTAAGATTTTTTCCTCGGTTTAGCTAAATGCTCTTTAATTGGATTTAGGGATTTGTAAAATTCCGTTGTGGGTTTGATTCTAAAGTTTCTCAGATTTTTGAAATCGCAGCTTGCTCTTATGATAAATCTGATTTGGTTCGAACAAATCACAAATCAGTGACTGATTATTGCTTTTTTTTTTTTTTTGTTGGTGAAATATTCAGGTGAAGCCAAAACTAAGACCTTTACCAGATTATATCGAAAAGGTTCAGAAAGATGTAACTCCAAGCATGAGAGGTGTTTTGGTTGATTGGTTAGTGGAAGTTGCTGAGGAGTACAATCTTGTGCCTGAAACATTTTATCTCACTGTCTCTTACATCGATAGATTCATGTCCTTAAAGACTGTCAACAAGCAAAAGCTTCAGCTTGTAGGAGTTTCTGCGATGCTTATTGCTTCGTAAGCATCCTTGAGATACTCTTGTGTTAGTCTTTCTTTGATAGTGATCGTCTTGTTTGAAGCTTATGTAAGTATTCTTCTTTTGGCATGTAGGAAGTATGAAGAGATAAGTCCTCCTAAAGTGGAAGATTTCTGTTACATCACGGAAAACACATATACTAAACAAGATGTGGTGAAGATGGAGGCAGATATACTTCTTGCGCTTCAATTCGAACTAGGAAGGCCTACAATCAATTCTTTTATAAGGTTAGATTTGTGATGAAACAATGTGTTTTGCTGGTGATACGTATAAGTTTATATGGTTCATTGTTCTCATTTTGTGTATTTTGCCCTTTTTTATCTGCAGACGGTTCACAAGGGTTGCTCAAGAAGATTTTAAAGTAAGCTCAAACTGATTTATCTTGACATAGATTCGAACTCTGAAGAGTGCCAAGTGCTAAATTTTCTTTTTTTTCCATGCCTTTGTTTCAGGTGCCACACTTGCAGCTAGAGCCTCTCTCTTGCTACTTATCAGAATTGAGTATATTAGATTACAAAACTGTGAAGTTTGTGCCATCTCTGTTAGCTGCTTCTGCTGTCTTTCTTGCTCGGTTCATCATCCGTCCCAAACAACATCCTTGGGTAAACATTTTTGTCTCACTCTCTTACATGTAAAATGTTGAGTCAACTCTTTAAGATGAGACACTAATGATAACATATGGCTGTGATGATGTTAACAGAATCAGGTGTTAGAAGAATACACAAAGTACAAAGCTGCTGATTTACAAGTGTGTGTGGGAATTATGCATGACTTGTATCTAAGCAGAAGAGGTGCTAATTTACAAGCTGTTAGAGATAAATACAAGGACCCTAAGGTAAAATAAACATTACAATGAGTCAGTGATATCATTTGAATTAGCATTGTCTTGATCCTTAACGTTGCTCCTCTTGATATAGTTCCAGTGCGTTGCGACCATGCCTGTATCACCTGAGGTGCCTGTTACCCTTTGGGAGGATGTTACCATTTGATCAGTACAAAATACAAGCTTTGCACTTGGAGAAAGGGCTAAAGCGAAGATAAAGGAGAGGAACAGTTAGGACATATTGATGAAGATTGATCTTGAGAAGCATTACGATGAGCTTAACGAAAAGATGGAGCATTATGATTTAGTTAGTGGAATAGAACTTTTGATTCTCAAAGCTGCTTGAGACACGGTCCTTGGAATTTATTTCTAAAGAGAAAAAGTTGGAAGTGGTGAGTGTGGACATCTGGACTTGAGGGAACTGTTTATCAAATCACCAAATTACGAAATGGAGGAGACTTGTTCAACAGATGGAATCAAAAAGCAACAGATGGAATCAAAAAGCTAAGGAGTGCACATTATGAATCAATTAGGCTGTTGATTTGAGGAAAACTCTGAAGTACTTGCTTCTGAAAAGAAGAGACAATGAAGAATGGAGATATTAGTGAGAGTTGAATATATATTTACTCTTGTAGTGAGAGTTATTGGCTCTATGGTTTTAATGAATTTATAAAAAATTAATTAAATTCAGTATTATTAGTTCTATGATTTTAAAATCTATATTTATATCATATGTTATTGGTTTTATGATTTTAAAATTCATATTCAAATCATCTGTTATTGGTTATATTATTTTAAAATTTAAATTCAAATTTTGTGTTATTGGTTCATAGTTTTAAATTCATGGATTTTATTTTAAAGTGGACTTTAGTGGATTTGGAAGGTTTTCTATGTTATAAATACAAAGACTCAAATCCAAAGCTAAACCTATGATTTTGTAAAATCAACATGTTATATTTAAAAATAAACAAATTTTACAAAAATTATATGGATTATTAAATCAACTAAAGGGGGGGAGGGAGAGAGAGGATTATTGAGAGATGGATTTATATAGATTTTAATAATTTGTAAAGTTGAGAGATTTCAAAAATTCTATTAGATTTTTTTGGATTTTTTTAATTTATTATAATGAATTCTCATTGATTGTTATTGATTTTCATTAATTTATACAATTAATATTTTTTTTCCTATAATTAATACTTTAAAGTAATATGTATAGAAAAAAAAATTCAAATATTTTCTTTAGCGTGGACATATGTATATAACATCGCTCTTTCATCTTGTTCTTCAATCAGATAAAAACAAGTGATTTCTTTATTTTTATCATTAATTTATATTTTAGATTTTATGTTTTATTTGTTGCTTTAATTTATTTATGTTTATATGATTGTTTTACTATTAATTAATCATTAGATTTTATTTGCGCATTACACGGATTTATTTATTAATTTAATTAAAACTCAATATATTTATATTACTATTATATATATATATATTGTGTGTTATATTTATCTTTTATTTTTTTAAATAATTTTATTATCCTCATATATATATTTATATTGTAAATTTATTTTCTAATACATATTGTGATGTATTAATTGTTAATAAAATATTTTATATGTTTATATACTGCAATAAGTATTATATGTGTTCTTAGTGTTTTTTTTATTCAATTGATTTATTATATTTTTCTACATCTTATTTTCATAGATCAACAAAGTGAAATCATCATCGATCCTTATCCACTCTAAACTAAGTAGGGGTTATTGGTTTCTTGTATTTTGATGGATTTAGAAATCTTCTTTTGATTTGATAAATTTATTAGTTTCAAAAACATCAAAATGGAAAAAAATCAAATCCACTCAAATATCAAAGTTAGACCTTGTATTTGGGTCTTTGTATTTTAGTCATGCAAAATCCTTCTAAATCCATTCAAATTCAATTAAAACTTAAATTCTTATAATATTTAGATTTTAAAATTATAGAACCAATAACAATGTATTTCATTATAAATTTTAAAATCATAGAACCAAGAACACTGTATTTAAATATAGATTTTAAAATACAAGAACCGATAACACTGTGTTTGGTTTGGATTCTCAAATCTATCAAAATACAAGAACCAATAACACCACCTAAATGTTTCTTTATATTTTTTTTTTTCCAAAAATCTAACTCATGTTCAAGCACAATTAGTCTTTTTTCCCCTTTCTTATAGCTCTTAGTCTTGCTATTCTGATTGCAATATACTGTTTTTTTTTCTCTTATTTCATGCAAGCTTTCATCTCATTCAGTTTTGTGATCATTTATAACTCTAAATCAGGAGAATTTTAGATAGAGTCAGCTAGACAGAGCAAAAGTTATGTTCAAATATTATATATCTTTGTTGGGTTTTATATCAACAAAGTTATGTTCAAATATTATAACGTACTAATTATATATATTGAAGAATGAGTTACATCCGGTTATCTCGGGTTATTAGGATCGGTTAGTTAAACCAGGGTCACACGAGTGGTTAAGTTGATACGTGTGTGGTTAAGTGGGTTTAGCTAATAGACTTATCGTCTTCTTCTTTAGTCTGTTAGATCATTCGAGAACTAGTGAGTGATCGAGAGAGAGAGAGAGAGAAGAGATCCTTGTATCGTGAATCTGTAAAAGCTCGAAAGAGCAAGTACTAGTGGATTCTGAAGCAAGCTCCGGCGAGACGTAGGATTCCGGTTTGGAATCTGAATTCGTTAAATCGCGCGTGCTCCCATTTCTTTTCTTAGTTCTTTACAAAGATTCATCTCGGATCGAGCTGAGAATCGAACAAAGTGGTATCAGAGCGCCAGGTTCTGGCAAGCGGAGGTGCGCGGTGGTAGATCGGAGAAGATAAATCGGAGATGGCGACATCACCGGCTGGGATCGAGAAGTTCGACGGAACGGGTGATTTCTCTCTGTGGAAGCGGTGCATGTACGCTCATCTGAGCGTATCGGGGCTCAAGGATGTTCTGGTTGAGTCTCTTCAAAGCTCAACGCAGATCGCGGAGATCTCCCATGCAGCAGCGATGGCGGTGGCAGAAGGCAGAGCGTCAGTTCTACCGGACAAGAAGAAAGACATCGTCGTCGATGAAGCAAGACAAGAGCGATGCGAGAGAGCTATGCATCTGATCTTCTTAAGCGTCGCGGATCCAGTTTTGAGGAAGATCGAATGGTGTACAACGGCAGCGGAAGCTTGTTCTCTTCTGGAGAAGGAATATATGCCTCAATCTCTACCGAATAGGGTCTATGCTCAACTTCAACTATACGACTTCAAGATGCAAGATCATAGGTCCATTGACGAGATCGTTAACGATTTCTTGAAGTTGATTAGGGAGCTAAGTCACCTGAGTATTCAAGTTCCAGAGGAGGTTCAAGCCATCCTTCTTTTGAATTCTTTGCCGGCTAAGTACGACCAGTTCAAAGAAACTCTGAAGTATGGCAGAGAGTCGATCAAGATGGCTGATGTGGTTAGTTCAGCAAGGTCAAAGGAAAAGGAGCTAAGGAATAGCTCGGGTTCTATGAACAGTTCAGAAGGTCACTTTGCTAGAGGACGTTCAGAGAGTCGTTCTCATGATGGAAAGAACAAAGGCAACAAGTCACGGTCAAAGTCTAGAGATGGCAAGAAGATCTGTTGGATTTGTGGCAAGGAAGGTCATTTCAAGAAGCAGTGCTACAAATGGTTAGAGAGAAAAAAGGGAAAGCATCAGGGTCAGGGTAAAGGAGAGTCGTTCATGGCTAAAGACGATGCTCAAGATCTGGTGGGTCTGATAGCTTGTGAGATTAACATTTCTCAGTGCACAGGGGATCATGAAGAGTGGGTAATGGACACGGGTTGCTCATTTCACATGACCCCGAGGAGAGATGTCTTCATTGAAATGAAGGAGGTTACTGCAGGACGCGTCAGAATGGCTAACAACACGAATTCAGAAGTGAGAGGCATTGGCTCAGTGAGGTTCACAAACCCGGATGGCACAACGTTTGTGCTGAGCGATGTAAGGTTTATGCCGGACATAGGCAGGAATCTTATTTCTTTGGGAACTCTGGAGAACAAGGGTTATGAATTCAAGGGTGCAAATGGGCTTCTGAAGGTGATAAAAGGCTGTACAGTGGTTATGAGAAGGGCAAGAAAGGGTAGAGATACTCTTTACATCCTACAGGGTAAGGCAAATTCGATGAGTGCGTGCTCAACAGTGGTTAGTACAGAGGTTCAGACAGTCAGGGATACAGCGTATTCACAGTTGTGGCATAGCAGAATGGGTCACATAGGTTACAAGGCGCTCGAAGTACTTGGGAAGAAAGGCTGTATAGACAAGGATAAGGTTTTGGAAGTCAAGTTTTGTGAAGATTGTGTTCTCGGGAAAACACAAAGAGTCAGTTTCGGGCCAGCTCAACATGTCACTAAGGAGAAGCTAGATTACATTCACTCAGACTTGTGGGGATCTCCTAACGTTCCCATGAGCCTAGGAAGGTGCCAATACTTCATTTCGTTCACTGATGATTGGTCAAGGAAGGTCTGGATTTACTTCATAAGGACTAAGGATGAGGCATTTGACTGATTTGTAGAATGGAAGAAGATGGTAGAAGTTCAATCAGAGAGAAGAGTTAAGAAGCTTCGCACGGACAATGGGTTAGAGTTTGTGAATCTTCGGTTTGATACGTTCTGTAAGGAAGAAGGGATAGTCAGACACAAGACTGTGGCTTACACTCCTCAGCAGAATTGGATTTCAGAAAGACTGAACCGAACGATCATGAACAAGGTCAGGAGTATGCTGAGTGAAAGCGGGCTCGAGCAGAGGTTTTGGGCAGAAGCAGCGTCAACAGCGGTGTATCTCATAAATCATACACCTTCCTCGGTGATTGATTTTGAGATTCCAGAAGAGAGGTGGACATCTGCAGTGCCGAACTTGAGTAATCTGAAGAGATTTGGTTGCGTTGCTTATGTTCACACAGACGACGGGAAGCTCAAGCCGAGAGCCAAAAAGGGAATCTTCACTGGATATCCAGAAGGGGTTAAGGGTTTTCGAGTCTGGCTCCTTGAAGACAGAAAGTGCACGATCAGTAGAAACGTCTTGTTTAGAGAGGACACGATGTACAAGGGTGTCAAAGAAAGCGACAAATCAGGTAACTCTTCTGTGGATATATTTTATACTAATCAGCTCTTGAGTTTTGATCTTGCAGGTAATCACAGGGAAGCAAAAACTTCAGTTCCTGGTGGAGCTGTTATGAGTGATGGCGAGGAAGAGATACAAGCTCAGGAGGGAGAAATACAAGCTGATTCTCACAGGAGTCCAGTAAAGGAGTCAGTTGATGATCGTCCCAAGAGAGTTACGAAGCTTCCTGATAAGCTACGAGATTTTGTGATGATGCGTGACGATGACAACAGTGACATCGCTGGATACGCATATCTAGTGGTGGAAGATGGAGGCAAAACAGAACCGCAGAGTTATCAAGAAGCGTTGAGTGACGCAGACAGTGAGTTCTGGGAGGCAGCTACGGATGAGGAGATGCAGTCATTGATGAAGAATGGCACATGGGTGCTAGTGGACAGAGTCAAAGGTCAGAAAGCAATAGGCATTAAGTGGGTGTTCAAGAGGAAAGCGGGCATAATCGGTGTTGAAGGTCCACAGTTCAAGGCAAGACTTATGGCAAAGGGATATTCACAGAAGGAAGGAGTTGATTATCAGGAGATTTTTTCTCTGGTAGTGAAGCATGTCTCAATTCGCTTACTCTTGTCT